ATTATGCTTACTATCTGACGACCGCCATCCAGCTTTTCGGGCCAGCGGCAGTGAAGACCAACAACAATCATGCTACACAGCACTTGGCGGAGTGTCTGCGCTCATTTGGACCAGTACACGCTTGGTGGGCATTTCCATTTGAACGATTTAATGGGATGATCCAGAAAACGAGAACAAATCGCCAGCTTGGTAAGTACAAGCACATCATCCTTACCCGCATATGGTGCTGCCTCATCAGCACCACTGACTACGTCATGCAGGCGGACAGGTCGAACTCTCTTTTATGAAGTCGTTTTGCAGAGGGAGCAACCTCAGAGCGTTGCTCTTACACGACGAACTACCTGAGGCTATCCAAGACTATCGATCAATAGCCCAGGAGTATTTCGGTACAGACTTCAGAGGAACTTTGCGCCATGACCTACAGGCAATGGCTGGGAGCACAGATGAATGCTTTCCAGTGGCGAGGAAAGGCAAGGTTGTTACACTTCCTGCCAGTCAATATGCAAGCCTCATATCCTGCCTTAACCGGATAAGTGACGGGATTTTCTATCAGCCATATGACCAGCCTCTGGAGGGTGCTCACTGTGTCCACGTGGAACCAAGAGCTGAAACTAAACGAGCGATCAAGCTTCATGGAGACAACTTTACCCCTGCATGGCGCCATGTTGGAAATAGCCAAATTCTTTTACGTGCAACAGCATTAGGGTCAGGCTCACTTGCTCGTGCCGCTCAAATACAGAAGATCTTGGTGCACAGTCATCCTGGACTTGGACGATCAACATTCTCAGAAACCTTCTTTGTTGTCAAGCTCTATAGAGAGCTGGACGCCGCCCAGATTCCTCTGGATCCATATCGCATCTTCCATGCATTAGATGCTCGACTATGCATCGATGACCTTGAGCCGGAGGAACTTGTTGTATCAAGCACTGATATCATAAGTCATTTTGCAAGTTGCTCCATCGACATCGAGGGTTTGAAAGAGCGGTGTCGAGTTGTGCTCTCGCTCGATAGGGTATGTATTGACAGTCTTTGAATAGAACTTCCTTGACGACATTGAGACCTTGCAGAGCTAACCGACGCGATCCACGACTACCTCTTGGCACGAAGGGATACTCTGGGATTGTACATAAAAACGAAGCAGAGGGAGTTAGCTTCATGGGATCTAGAATGAATCTGAATGATTTGTAGTCGTTTGTTGGATTTCTCTGTACTCTAACTGCGGCACATAGAGGAGTGGCTCAACCTGTATCCCTAGTCGGGGGAAATGATCATTACTAGAGATAGAACGAGCGAGTGTGAACTATGTATTTAGTTAATACAATCACTGGAGATATTAATGAAACCCCTCATAGCGCATTTGCACGATCCAATAGGCTTCTGATGCGTCTGCTAAGTCTCTCGGCCTCTATTTTCCGATCAAGGACTTGCTGAGCAGGGCTATCCTTCCTCCGCATCCACATCTTCCCACCTTTACAATCACTTTCTGCTCTCTTTGCATGAAGAGCGGATAGATCAACAACACGAGGCGATGAAGAGAATTTGATGATGTCCCGGTAGAGAACCTTAGTTTCTGTGGCGAGCGAGCGAATGGTAGGAGGAGCGGGCGGAAGCTCTGTATCGGATTCATCTGTGTCGGATTGTCCTGAGGGGTCCAGCGGAGGTGTACGTACGCGACTGATATGTTCTGGGAGATGTGGTAGTGCTTGTATTTCCTTGAGTAGGTCCTGTCCCTTGAGATACGAGTTTTCTGTGCGCAAGAAGCGGACGGTGCCACGAAGAGCCTTGATCTATGTGAGAGTCAGAACAACGATGATGAGATGGGTCTAGACCTGCACGGACCTGCTCCAGAAGGTGCGGTGTCTCCACATTACCCTCCATGGGGACATTCTCTGAATCGACAGGTTGTGTGCTAGCAGCTGGACACGGCAAGTTATCAGACCGTGCAATTGACCCCAATATAAAGAAACATACCTTGTCGCTCCGAACCCGCAACCAACGCCTTCAGTTTCGCATTATCTTGCTCGAACATATCCAGGTCTGCCTAAAGTTGTTCCATTGCCTCTTTGTATGCATGTTCCTGCTTGCGCGCTTTCGAGAGCTCGATGTCAAGATCTCCAATGGTATCCACTTGCTCCTTGACTGCTTCCATGCGCCGTTCCATGTGCTCGATCTTCACCTCTGACTTCTGTATCACTTGGTCTTTCGTCTTGAGACTCCGTGAAAGTCCTTGTATTTCCTCCTGCAGCTGTGCGGCTTTCTGCTCGGCTTCGACATTGGTAGTCATTCTGGCTCTGATCTCCTCAATTCGTAGGACCCACGGTGGTGTGCCAGAGACTTGGCCATCGTTAGCATGATATTTGACGAATATCAAAGCTAAAAGAAGCCTACTCTTGAACACGTTCTCAGGTTCCATTGCCAAAGGGAGTAACTTGTTGCACTCCGCTGATAACTGGGCAATAGCTTCACCAACCGCCTCGAAGCAGGAGGTCCCAGGTTTCATGTCCTTGGCGACAGTGGACGTTGCAGTCTGCCTGGCGTACGACAACACTGTTGCAAGCTGAAACGGAGCCTTGGCACTACGGGCGTCGCTAAGGTGTGGAATTACTTGTTGGGCGAGCTACAGTTATACAAATAAGTAGTCTTCCTCAGAAAGGGGAGCGAAAACACTAACAGAGATATCAAAGTTGACTAGCTCGGGAACTGCGTTGCTGAGATTTTTGAGTTGCTGAACGAGATGTGACTTGAGTGCTGAAGACTCCTGGATAATGTCATCGAGGCGCTTTGTAAGTTTCCTGTATCAGAGGCGATTTTACTGTGAACGGCGCTATTGTGGCGAGCTGATAGTGCTGATGGCGAGTTGATATGAGCGCTGACGCTGACGCTGAGCTGCGCTGCAGCGCCAGAGCAGCGAATATTCATTCGAATCACATGAGCGGGCAAACGAGAAAAAGAGAAGCCCGAACTATAAAACACAAAGTCTGAGGAAATGTGACATCAGTATTCTGCGGCTGCAGTGGCGACCTTGGAACGAAAGTTTTACATCCCATGTATATCCCTAACCCCGTTGCCTGACGAACAAAGTGTTAAAAATCGAGCTGGCCATGAGCTGGCCATACATGCGGACATGGTTTAAAATTGAGATTGCGTGTATAGAGGAGCTACAATGTGTTTGCCACATAAAATCACGGCCGTCCGGATTGGGTTTCAATGATCTTGCAGTGATTTAACATTTTGCGCATCAATTGGGATCCCGACCCGTGGCGTCACGTCTTTGAGTTCAGACGAAGAATGGCAAGCCTTCCTATATGATTTAGAATCTAAAATAAATGGTCTCAAACTAGTGGGATAGTGTTAACCTTGATATTTTACACTTTGTCGTCGTCGAGGATTCCTCTCCCTTTTAAAATTTCTGCGCCGCATCTACTGCGCCACCTATCCATATGTTGTATTACATTCCCACCCCGTTTGATCTTCATCTGAACGGCCTTACCTTTTCGACTTTGCCCGCAGTGTGACAAGGGCCCGTGCTTGAAGTAAACTAATGTTAAAACATGCCTGCGATATTTTCGAAGACATACTAGTAGTATGTAATTGAAGGCCAGTGAACTCATCATGTCTATACCCTCGTGCTCTTTTGTATGGGATTTTGACCCGATGCGCGGCTGTAGTGCGGTTTCAATCCCACTTGCAACTTGCATATGTACTTTACAGGCTGCAACGCACCAGCCTCGTGTAGTTATCTAACAGAGCCTCAGCCTCACCTTGGCCTTGCAGGTCGCCTTTAAATTCTAGGGATCGCTGAGCACTCGCCATATCATTCCCCTTGCACTGGCAGGCCTTCGGTGGTCAAGTACTGCAGTTTCAGCTCCCTAGGTGTGTATCGACTGCGATCACCCTCCATTTTGCGCTCATGCAACACCTTTCACAGTGAGATAGCAGTGGTGATCTTGGATTCACTAACGGAGAATATTGATTTGCATTACTCCTCCGTCCCCCCGGTCATCCAGATCAATCGCTGTTTCTGAATAATCTTGCTGCCAGCCTTGGAGACAGATTCCAGCAGCGGGACATCATGTCTGATCTTGATAAGGCCATCAGGCACCACCGGGCTGCATTACTCCGCCGTCCCCCCGGTCATTTACTTCGATCCAACTCTCTGAACAGTCTTGCAAAAAGCCTTCGACACAGATTCCAGCAGCGGGGCATGATGACTGACCTTGATGAGGCCATCGAGCTCCATCGCGCTGCATTACTCCTCCGTCCCTCCGGTCATTCAGATCGATCCATGTCTCTGAACAATCTTGCTGCCAGCCTTCGACACAGATTCCAGCAGCGGGGCATGATGTCTGACCTTGATGAGGCCATCGAGCACCATCGCGCTGCATTACTCCTCCGTCCCTCCGGTCATTCAGATCGATCCATGTCTCTGAACAATCTTGCAATCAGCCTTCGACACAGATTCCAGCAGCGGGGCATGATGTCTGACCTTGATGAGGCCATCGAGCTCCTTCGCGCTGCATTACTCCTCTGTCCCCCCGGTCATTTACTTCGATCCGACTCGCTGAACAATCTTGCTGCCAGCCTTCGACACAGATTCCAGCAGCGGGGCATGATGTCTGACCTTGATGAGGCCATCGAGCTCCATCGCGCTGCATTACTCCTCCGTCCCTCCGGTCATTCAGATCGATCCATGTCTCTGAACAATCTTGCTGCCAGCCTTGGAGACAGATTCCAGCAGCGGGGCATGATGTCTGACCTTGATGAGGCCATCGAGCTCCATCGCGCTGCATTACTCCTCCGTCCCTCCGGTCATTCAGATCGATCCATGTCTCTGAACAATCTTGCTGCCAGCCTTGGAGACAGATTCCAGCAGCGGGGCATGATGTCTGACCTTGATGAGGCCATCGAGCACCATCGCGCTGCATTACTCCTCCGTCCCTCCGGTCATTCAGATCGATCCATGTCTCTGAACAATCTTGCTGCCAGCCTTGGAGACAGATTCCAGCAGCGGGGCATGATGTCTGACCTTGATGAGGCCATCGAGCTCCATCGCGCTGCATTACTCCTCCGTCCCTCCGGTCATTCAGATCGATCCATGTCTCTGAACAATCTTGCTGCCAGCCTTGGAGACAGATTCCAGCAGCGGGGCATGATGTCTGACCTTGATGAGGCCATCGAGCACCATCGCGCTGCATTACTCCTCCGTCCCTCCGGTCATTCAGATCGATCCATGTCTCTGAACAATCTTGCTGCCAGCCTTGGAGACAGATTCCAGCAGCGGGGCATGATGTCTGACCTTGATGAGGCCATCGAGCTCCATCGCGCTGCATTACTCCTCCGTCCCTCCGGTCATTCAGATCGATCCATGTCTCTGAACAATCTTGCTGCCAGCCTTGGAGACAGATTCCAGCAGCGGGGCATGATGTCTGACCTTGATGAGGCCATCGAGCACCATCGCGCTGCATTACTCCTCCGTCCCTCCGGTCATTCAGATCGATCCATGTCTCTGAACAATCTTGCTGCCAGCCTTGGAGACAGATTCCAGCAGCGGGGCATGATGTCTGACCTTGATGAGGCCATCGAGCTCCATCGCGCTGCATTACTCCTCCGTCCCTCCGGTCATTCAGATCGATCCATGTCTCTGAACAATCTTGCAATCAGCCTTGGAGACAGATTCCAGCAGCGGGGCATGATGTCTGACCTTGAAGAAGCATTCAGCGTGTATTCTCAACTCTCCTCCCTATCGCATGCAGTCTCTCGCACACATCTTAATGCTGCCAAGTCATGGGCTGCCTCCGCCGACATCTTCAATCACCCATCTGCATTGCTTGCTTATAATGTTGCACTGAAATCCTTAGATCAGCAAGTTGCTCTCCTGTCGTCTTCTTCGCATCACTTCGACGTTATCAGAAGGGCTGTCTCTTCTCTCGCTACGGATGCTTTTTCATGCAGTGTTCGTCGTGGTGCGTTGACGACTGTGGTGGAGTTGGTGGAGCAAGGTCGTGCAGTGTTCTGGACCCAGTTGGCACGCTTCAGCACATCACTCGATGAGCTTTCTGTTTCAGGTGACGCCGGCATGGTCTTGGCAGAAGAGTTCAAACGGTTGAGTTTTCTCCTTCGTAACGCGTTCGATCAGTCTGAAGACCAGTCTCCGCAAATCCGACAACTGACAATACAATGGGATGAAGTTGTCTCGCGCGTTCGCCTGCTCCCCGACTTTTCGCGTTTTTTCCTACCTCCACTGTTTTCTGACCTCCAGAAGGCGGCCGAAGATGGCCCAGTGATAATCGTCAATGCTGGTCAGCGCAGCTGCGACGCCTTGATCATCCATAGCGCGGGAGATCCTGTCCATGTTCCGCTTGACATTAAAGAAGCAGAATTGTCTGAATTCTCCTCAGAGTTCCAATCACTCGCAGAGCAGTTTGGTTCTTCTGATTATCAACTTACGCTTGTCGGTATCCTTCGCAAGCTTTGGAATGCTGTCGTTGACCCCGTAGTCCAAGCTCTCAAGAAGTCTGAAGTTCGCCCTGGGTCACGTATCTGGTGGTGTCCCACTGCTGAGTTCACGCTGCTTCCCCTCCATGCAGTGGGATCATACGAGAAGGGGAGAGACAATTTGTCTGACATTTACATCTCCTCTTACACCCCCACTTTGGCGACTCTCGTTCGTGCAAGACAGCAGGTTTCTCCAGATGCGTCCTCGCAACATTTCGTTGCCATCGGTCAAGGCAACCCGGTTGAAGGGAAGGAGCTCAAATGTGTCGCTCCTGAGCTAGCCGTCGTCGCTCGCCACGTTACTCCCGTCATCTCCTTCACATCCCTCAAGGATGGCAATGCAACAGTCGAGGGTGCACTCGATGCACTCGACCGTAATCAATGGCTCCATCTTGCCTGCCATGGAATGCCGAATCGGACGCAGCCGTTCGATTCTTCCTTCGCTATGCGCGACGGGCCTTTAATGATCAAGCATATCATCCGATCCAACTCGCAGAACCCGCAATTCGCATTCTTATCGGCCTGCCACACTACCGTTGGCGATAAAAAGAGCCCGGATGAGTCGATCCATCTTGCTGCAGCCATGCAATTCTGTGGATTTCGCAGTGTGATCGGTTCCATGTGGTCTGTTGACGACGAGGTTGCACGTCAGGTCGTGTCTGCTTTTTACCGCAAGTTAATTGGTGATTCAAAAAGATTGGACTGCACAGGGGCTGCGGTAGCGCTGCACAAGGCTGTGAGATCGTTGCGCAAGAAGATTCCGTTAGAACAGCAGATTGTATTTGTCCACACTCGATTCGCTATATTATTCCATTTGCTGTATTTCTAGTTGTTTTCATTCCTTCGCTCTCCTGTTGTTTACTTATTTCTGCATCATACTTTCTTATTCTGTACTGTACTAGTGCCACACTCTGCATTCCATTGAATAAATCCGATCTACTCCTGCATCGTCGCAGTTCCAAGTCGTTAGGCGCGGCCGTAGTATATGATTCGAGTGGTGTTACCTGGGAGCCACTCTTGCTGCCCCAATGGCGTATGCTCATTTGTTCGGTGCTACTGGTTGTGACTTGTGGACACTATCATGCTGTATCATGCCGAATCCTGTTGGATAACATCAGATGTCAAAATTTTGAAGAAAAGTGTGCAAGAATGCGAGCAAGATCCACTATAATCAAAAACATAGCTCAAGCATGTATACAGCAGAGCACTGAAGAAAGTCATGTGCGAAAGAATATTACTTTGAGAACGAGAGTACTCACAGACAAGGGTTGTACTCCAACGTTTTAGATAATGTCAATATCATTGATGTGTCATGGACGATAAAGCCATACATCAGTGAATCGGTGAACAGATGACAAAGCTATTTAAAGCAATATATTTTGGAGCATCACAACATTCTACGTAAATCTGCTGACCGCTCTCACATGTAAATGTTTGGCATTGTCGAGAAAAGACCGATTTAAAGGCACACCAGCGAAGTAGCATTATTTGCTGAGTAGGCGTTTCCACTAGGATGGATCTAAGAAAAAACGAATCGGTGCATGTTCATGAAGTTGAATACAGACCGAGGTTAAAAGGGAACAAGAAGGAGATTGTGATGTATGAAGGTGAAAGATATGCTGGTGATGTTCATAGTAATGCAGATACATAGCGTTCGGTCCCCAAATATTATTTTGTTACTAGCTAAGAATGACCATGACCTGCATGTGACTTGTCCGAGGGTTCAAAGTGTAAGCTTATGTTGCAACGGGATAGTGGCGGTAGAGTCGTGCGTATGGCATTTTTATTTGCCAGCCGTCGCTCACAGCAATACATCACATGAGGGACAAATAATATTACAAAGTATGTTACAGTAAATTTTATTTCTTGATGGACACCGAGTTGCACATTAGTAAATCGGTGAACAGATAAGAATGATATCAAATGTCAGCATGCAGCTGAAGACTAACAACTTGGTGCCGGACTCAAAACACTTCGAGAGAAATCTTCCTCTGGCGAAGCCTTCAGGAACCAACGTCATGGCACGTAATCGGCAAATGACCTTTATGGAGCAAGTCGGTGCATTATGGTCAGCATTGGCAAATGTGAATAATATTCCGACGTTGATCAACTGACATTGTATATTCAATCAATTGGGGGGACTCCAATCATTCATGAACTTGATCCTGACAACAGGATCCTTAGTGTTTGAGGAGACGAAAAGGTATGTTTTAGTGACACGAACGACAAAACAAATTATATCCCCTTTAAATTTTGACCAATTTAACAGCAGTGGGCTATGAGCCGGCACAATATCTCACTTACCATTCAACAAGCAATAGTGCGAACCCCACCAAAGCATAGCCTAATTTCCTGGATTCAGCCTGTCAAACACAAGCGGGTGAATCCACCAACCGCAGACTGAATTGTGCTATGAGCGTGAAAACTAGAGAATGATGACAATGGCACGAAGTTCAGATAACGCAGAACCCACCACATTGTGACTGTATTTCTTGAATTCAGCCTGACAGACACAAGTGGGCAAATGTACCAACTGCAGGCTAAATTGTGTTATGAGCGTGAAGACTAGAAAATGTCACTAAGGGCCCGAACATCAGATAACGCAGAACCCACCACATCGTGACTGTATTTCCTGAATTCAGCCTGACAGACGCAAGCGGGAAAATGTACCAACTGCAGGCTGAATTGTGTTATGAGCGTGGAGACTAAAAAATGTCACTAAGGGCCCGAACATCAGATAACGCAGAACCCACCACATCGTGACTGTATTTCCTGAATTCAGCCTGACAGACACAAGCGGGCAAATGTACCAACTGCAGGCTAAATTGCGTTATGAGCGTGAAGACTAGAAAATGTCACTAAGGGCCCGAACATCAGATAACGCAGAACCCACCATGAATATCGGAAAATACAGAGGTTGCCATGGTCTTGCTGTATCTCTTGAATTCATCCTGTCAAGCTTCATCAGTCCTATGGGCACGAACACTAGAAAATGCAGGGTCCCTGATGAGATATGTTAAAGTAAACAATGGATCGAGTCTCAGATCACTCAGGCTGACGCGCTGACAAATTTGTCCGTACTAATCCGATCATTACAGAATTTCCGATATTCAAGGATATAAATTCAAATTATGCTAGGGACAACGATTGCAGATGTGCAGGAACAAGTTTATTTCACTTGATTAATACTACTATTTAATAAGGAATCGTATCACAATTAAAGGAAAGTGGACATGAGCTCAAGCAACCTAATCAGAGTCAAATACAGCATCCTCCTTCTCCTGCCTCTGAGTAGCAAGAGCACTGACAGACATTCGCAAAACGACATCTGGCGTCAAATCCTGTCGGTGGTTCTTCCCGAAAACCTTTCTGCACATGGCCTCAGCGAGTTAGCAGCAGTCCAGCCGAGCTAGTCATTACCCACCTGGTCCACCACTCAAGAAGTTCGTTCACCCTTCCTCGTGCAGCTGGACCCGGGGCATTCTCAAAGAAGTCTACAATATTGCTCCAGTATATCTGATAATCAAAATCTCCATCGACGGTGCGCCAGGAGGTGATGTTAGAAAGAGCAAACCGAATCTTTAAATTCAGTGTCAACTTCGTACTAGTCAGAGGGAAACATCAATACTCACCTGGCAAGCTGTATATGCGATCGCACGAGGAGTTACCTTCCGCATGCCTATAATCGAGGCGACACAGGTCTTGACTTTCGTTTGATCTGATTGCCGCTGGGCGCGTTGGTGGTTCTCAATGATATCGGCGCCATCGCCTTCGCCATCGACTTCATTGGCAGATGAGGGAGAAGTAAAGATCGCTTTAAATGCCTGCGATGCGATGTGTGATAAATTGGTTGGAAAAGTCAGGCCACTCACCATAATTAACAGCTTCGACTTCATGAGCCCGCGCTCCAGATTCTTGACGTCAGCATCGTAATCTTGATACATGAACAACGGCCACGAATTCTCAGACACAATAAAAGCAGCTGTATGGTTGCGGATACCAGCCCTGATTCTGCGCAAAATATCAGCATTATACAGTGACAGAAGACCATTACTCACACTGGGTCGTCCCACTGCCATTCCGCTGGGCAGAGCAGTTTACCACACGTGTCGCTCACGAAACTGCGACGGTGCTTGTCGGTGGTCCTGATGAGCGGAGTCGGACGACAATCGTTATTCACCCATGAGGCAACGAGCTCTTTGAGAGTACCCGTATCGTCTCCACGAGCCGTGTCCGCACCACGCTTGAGCTAAATCATGGACATGAGTAAGTAGCGCGACGAAAACGGTTCGGAAGAACCTTTCTCAACATCTCTTCTGACTCCTCGTGTTCAAAACTTGCCAGCTTCTCATGAATCCATGGTAGAGCCTTGGTAAGTTCAATGTAACCACGTTGAAGGCGATCTTGTCTGTGCCGATTTGTTGAATGAAGTACAATTATGATCAGCGGAGACAGGTACTTACTCGATATTGGCGTCTCCATCTGTATGTTCGCAGCGCCGATCATTTTCGGCAATCAGGTCCTCTATAGGAGTATAGAGAACAACCATACGGCGGATTGCTCTTCCCTGCGAGACGTAATAAGTTGTTTTCCTATGGGAGGTTAATTTCGCTTTGAGAATTTGAGAGAGCTCAAACCTTTGTTTTGTTGCCTTATCCTGCTTCAAAACTTCGACCTCATCCATCAAGGTAGCGATTCTTCGTTTCGCCCTGGCATGAGGAGAAGTTGGGAGAGACAAGGAAACCTCCGGAGGCCCATGGTTGCCCGAGCGGTTCTCGGATCCCACGGACATACTAGTACCCAGTCACAACAACACTTCAGATCCGCGACCGGCGCCTCCGGGAGAACTGGCAACGCGTGAAAATGGCACTGAAAGTGGAAGAAGGTGAAAAAATCCAGCATCGTAGAGGTCGCCTTTTAAACACGAGTCGTTTGCGTCAATGCCCTAAAAATGCATCGAAAAACGATCAAGCTCACCTGGTAAAGATGCTAGTGGCACGTGACGGGAAGTGAACATAAGTTCTGAGTTCTCGACCGTTTCTGGAGCCTGTTTTGGAATAGCTGAGCTCAAGGTGAAAATTCCCGACTTCCTAAGGAGGGTTCTTCGATGGTCTGTGTACACCCAGACCAATGGCCAAGTGCATGCATGACTTCCGACTCGGAGATTGGCCTGCAGCAATATTAGTATTACATAACTCATAATTAAGTCACCAGTACATGTTATTATTTGAACACACCCTTTGAAAGATCATGATAGCACTCGTTGGACTTCAATGCAAGTCCTTCGACATCCGATTCTTGGCACTTTCCCCGTCTCCAATCCAGTGCTTTCACTGCTAATTCTTTTCACGAGTGTCAAGAGATGGGCGAGCACGCCAAGGATAGCTCGGGAAAGTGGATTGCTTGGTAACCCCTCGCTTTGCTGGTAAAAGGGAGCTAACGAGAGAGAAGGGTACTGACGCCAAGGAACGACCCCACAATGCTTGAGTTTAAGAACGCCTGCGAGACGTAGTAAGCGACTCGACTTCCCTCAATGAAATTCGGTGTCACAACAATAATCAAATAATTTATAACAACATAGTCCACATCATACAAGTTAGTCAAATATTTATTGGTTGCATGATGGCGCTGGTGTGTGTGTGGGGGGGGAGGTCGTCAGGCACATCGGATTCGTAATATATTTACAATAATCGACAGGACGTCGTCCACGCAAAGCATACTTTCTGCCTGATGATTACGATCAGCATTGGAAAGACAATCAATATGATAATCGCATCACCTAGGGGTCGGAGCCGGTGGACTGCCCCTTCACAACCTGAGGGGGATCTTCCTCTGGCAGACACAACGTCCGCGCAAGTCCCTCAATGTGGTCCAGCTGTATGTCAGCAACAGCGAATGTCGCAAGATCATGACTATGCACGCCAACATTGAAGTCAACACTGGCTTCGAGTTCCTGCCGGTTGCCTCCGACCAAATGTCTTTGGAAATATGAAGCTTCCACGATGCTGCGGCCATATTCTAGAGCATTTTGCTCGAGAATACATTCAAGAAGCTTCATGCGTTGTAAATTTGACTCGATCTCCCAGGCTGTTGTCAGCACACGCAAGTGCATGGATTCGTGAGTAGCTTGCTTCGCGACAATAGCCTGAGTGATAGTCTTTTGCGACATGCCTCTCAAGCCACGTTCGAATATTTCTTTGCCCTGATATAATGTTTAGTATTATGAAGCGATACACATGGCTAACATACCTCTTGGACGTCGGACAGATTCATATCAGTCTCACCAGCATATTTTCCAAGTGACCTGTGAACAAAACGGAGCTCTATTGCGTTAGGCGTATGACCCTGGCGCGGGTCATAAGGCTTGAACTGTCTTTGTGCACAAGTCACAAGTCGAGACAGGTTACGCATGATGCCAGCAGGGGGCTCTGGAAGTACACGAAGCTCGTCTTCAAGCGATGAATTACTACTGGTGGTGTCATCGGATGATGATGATCGGTGGTGAGTGTATGATGTCTTGAAATGCTTGGTTTTTTGCCTAATATCATCATGTTGTACTTCAGTGTCACAAAATGGAGACTGGCCCAGGACAATGGGCCTTTGACAAGACGTGTCCATCTCACGAGTAGGACTCGACTGTCCGATAGAGCGAATTGGGAGAGGAGTGAAACAGACAGCCTGCATGGTTCAATGTTATTTAGAAACGTCACGATCAGCCTCGGGGGGTTATTATGAACCAGTCGACGGAGCTGGAAAAACTGCAGGTGATGTTTGTTAAATGTCAAAACAAGATTGATATTTTCTCCATATTAGGTACTAGGATAGCAATAAAATCCAATCGATGCACTGGCTCATAATTGCCCATACGGGACTGAAATTCCCTCCATATTGGTACTAGGGCAGGCATAAGAGTGACAAGTCCCCTGGTTCCTAGAAGTTGCGTCACCCCCAGGCTAGCAGTTGCTTCTTCAAGCTTATGCAAGACTTCGAGGAGCCCATCTTCGTTACATGACGTCTAAAAACAACCGCATTCGGACGCAGCCATTTGTCATTATCTTGCAGGCTGCACGGCCAACATTTAGAGTCTGTTCGGCCACCATTATTTGCGTTATTTGCGCAAGTTAGAATTTGGTTCTGGCTTTGCTAATCGTCGGAGCTTGAACAAGATGTCACGCTCCGATAACGCTTACCGTATGCCTTGTCCTACTATCAATACAATGCCTCTTGATCCTGATTACGACGAGGACGCTAACGAGGACGAATATGACCTTGTGGAGGCAGAGGAGATGGACCAAGATGCAGAGGAGAGTGATAAGAGATATCTGGCATGCATCATGCAGATGGCCATGCATGCTATGCGCACGGTCATTACAGTCCTCAACGCAACAACTACCGCGCTCGAAGCTTACTCAAACACCTACTATGACAAAGAACCGTATCATACCTCCACTTTGTCGGGGACTGCATGGGTCACCGAACTTCTCACTGGACACCCTGAACGCATCAGATGCAAGCTTGGGGTCCACAAGCATGTTTTCTATGTGCTCATCAATCTCCTTCGGCAAGCAGGTTGCAGAGATTCCAGGCATGTACTGCTCAAAGAGCAGCTTGCTATATTTCTCTATGCGTCTGTCACAGGTCTCTCGATTCGCCATCTTGGTGAACGCTTCCAGCGGTCCAATGAGACAATATCAAAGTACGTATATTGTTGCTGTCCTGGTATCAAGCTTATGTTCTTTCAGGTATTTTAAACGGGTTCTTTTCGCATTCTCCTCACCACCGATATATACGACATATGTCCGCCTGCCCGATGTAGATAGCCCTCCTCCCCCCGAAATCACGAAAAACCCGAAGTTCTTCCCGTTCTTTGTTGACGCTATTGGAGCCATTGACGGTACACACATCGCATGCCATCCTTTTGGTGAAGATCGGCATGCCGCTCGGGATCGCAAGGGGAACTTCTCTCAAAACTGCCTCGCAGCATGTTCATTCAACCTTTCATTTACCTACATGTTGAGCGGTTGGGAGGGGTCAGCTGCAGATGCTCGTGTCTATCACGATGCTCGTACTACCAATTTCAATATCCCTGAGGGAAAGTATTATCTTGCGGACGCTGGTTTTGGCTCGTGTGATGAGCTTCTGGTCCCGTTTTGGGGCGTGCATTATCATCTTGCAGAGTGGGGTCGTGCTAATACTTTGTATGATGCATTCTGCTAGTACCATTCATACTTATGTTCACATTGTTACATAGGCCTCGTAATCGCAAAGAACTTTTCAATTTGCATCATGCAATGCTTCGAAATGCTGTTGAGCGCATTTTTGGTGTCATCAAGCGCCGATTTCGTATCCTTCTCCTCCCACCAGAGTACAAAATGGACATTCAAGCGCGCATTCCTCCTGCCTTGTGTCTCGTGCACAACGTTATTCGAGTTCACGATCCAAACGACATGATGGACTATCGTAATGTCTTAGATGCGCACATTCTCACTGACACTGGAAACCTTGCTAACGGTCCTCCTACTGAGCATGCACGCACTCGTGCGAGCCTCCGTCGTGACCAGATTGCTAGTGAGATGTGGGAGGCCTACAACAGGGAAAGGATTCAGAGGGGGGAGCAGGCAATCATAGAACCACTAGTACTGTAGTCGCGTTAATACCATAGCCATTCGGACCCTCATCGATGACTATGATCCAAAGTATCTCCGTCAAATGATGACATTGTTGTCAGATTAAGACCAGATCCTCATCGATGACTATGATCCAAAGTATCTCCGTCAAATGATGACATTGTTGTCAGATTAAGACTGGATCCTCATCAATGACTATGATCTATAGAAATAGTGATATTGCTTTGCTACTACAAGTACAATACAAGAGAACATGACACGACAAGAATCCATGTAACACTACTTTGAATGCTGCTCTAAAAACAACCGCCGAAGACTATCTACCTCAATAGCAAGATAAATATCAATGATAGCGATGTCGGTCTGAAATTTATTCAAGATATTGAGTAGTTGTATGTCCTCTAGACCCTCACTCTGCAACTTTTTCACCGCCTTCTGCCTGCGCAAAGGGATGGGATCTACTGATCGTGCCAAGGTGTTGGAGGTGTTGGCCTCAAGAGCATTGTCCGCGCGCTTGAACATTGTGTTAAGACCGCCAATACTGGTCCCCATCTGCTGGATGGCCACAGGCATCGTCAGGCGTGCAGACTTCGCCGAGTCTCCCGATTTCGTTGAATGTGGGGGGCGGGTAACGATATCAAGCGTACTTTCATCATCATCAATCAGCTTCCGTTTACCAGAAGCTGTTGATGATGGCGCACTAACACAGACCGACTCAAGGGAGGGTTGCTGTGCGGCATCGAATGGAGGGAGGCTCTCTGGGGTGAGGGGGGTTGCGCGCTGGCCGCCTGAAACAGAGCTGGGGAACTCGATCCCATCGAGCGCATCTCCAAGGTCCATCATATGGACCTCATCAAAAGAAAGGGGGGTGGCTGCGCTGCTAGAAGAAGGCGAAGGAATGATGGGAGGTTGTGTCGCGATGGTGGCAAAGAACGAGTTGTTGTTACCTGACTTGACAGGTATGAGACCTTTCAGCGCCTCATAGTGCTTCCAACCCTTGTCCCAGAGGCCTTTGGCCTTTGGATTTTTCTATTGATTTATAGTAATTAGCATTGTC